ATATAAGTCGCGACCTGCACTCTGCATCGTCCGATCGAGTTTATTGGTGCATGGGTTTTGAAGTATTCAGATGCATGAGTTTGACGGTCTTATTGCCATTTAGTCCAATGTCAAATCGTCTAGACAATCATTATTCAGATTGTGTAATCCAATAGTCTAGACCAGTTCACGATTAGCACATATCCCAAATGACCCCGAATATCCACAGATCTTCAAGACATGAAAATGTCCCACTTTGTACATTTTGAAATAAGCACTCCTATATCGATGGAGTGCACTGCTTGTGCATAAATGAATAAAGATTACAAAACTTTCATGAGCACGTATCCGTTATTCTGTCTCCGTGTATCTTACAATGTAATCTATAATGACCTTTATCTGCTCCTGCTCAGACTGCAATTATGAACTGGCTTATTACGTCTATAGCCAGTTTAACTACGATACAACTTGCCATTTGATTTGCCTACACTCAGTTCGTCAATCATCTATGATCAAATCAGAAATACGTCCAATTTTGTATGTTATTTTATTGGTCTATAATCATGATCAGTTGGGCTAGGCATAACGAACTGTTTCATTGACAACTATTTCCTCTAAGAAGAAGAGAATTAAAAGTATGATTAGAAGAAGTAAAATTATGAGAATAACAATTGTAATAATAGTAAGAAGAAGAAGAAGAAGAAGAAGAAGGAGAAGGAGAAGAAGAAGAAGAAGAAGAAGAAGAAGAAGAAGAAGAAGAAGAAGAAGAAGAAGAAGAAGAAGAAGAAGAAGAAGAAGAAGAAGAAGAAGAAGAAGAAGAAGAAGAAGAAGAAGAAGAAGAAGAAGAAGAAAAAGGAGATTGGAGAAGACAAACAAGAAAAAAAGAAGAAGAGAAGAGAGATATAGAGAGAAGGGGGACGGGGAGATGTAAAATCAAACTACAGGTGAGAGACACACAAGTATGTAAATAGTGGAACACGAGATGGCGCTAAACAAATATAAAGACTTTGCCACATGGACAGCCATCTAGAAATCGATGGGACAAATCATTTTGGAATCTATTTTATTTCCAGGATAGAATGGGTTTTTTTTTGCGAGGAAGGGAACCGGCGTTAAAGCTGATGTTTTGTTAATTGATGTATTGATCTGCTACAATTTGTTTCTAATCCTCTTTTTATTTAGTTGTATTTCCTTATTTTTCTCTTCTATTTTTTTAAAACACACTATAGTTTAGATCTGCTTTCTCCAACTTGTCACTTAATAATTGGACACTTTTCCATACTCTCATCATTTTTCAAATAGCAACCTATCCTTAGTAACCTTTTTAGACCCTCTCTCAATCCAAGACACTTATTTGTTATATACACTCATTCTCATTCTGAGACCATGAGCAACGCGAGGTAAAATTGTCCTAGCGTGAGTGACTGAGAGAGAGAGAGAGAGAAAACATGCTCAATTAATAGACACAGATACCCTAATTAATTCCGTTATCATTATTTTTCTCACATTTATATATTTATGTATCAGACTTGACAGTTTCTTTGACTATGTTTTAAGTATTTCTACCATTATTATATATCTGTTTATATTTTTATTTGTATTTGAAGTCCAACCTCAAGTTTCAGTTGTAATAAAGAAAAAAATAATAGTCAATTTGTGGTTTGTAAAATAATTTTTTCTGTTTTTCTCCTACATTATTTATAAGGTGATGTAATGTAAATAAGTGAGTCAGTAGTCAGTAGCAGAAAGTGAAAGAGAGAGGACAGAGAAACATATCATCGAAGAGAGAGAGGGAGAGGGAGAGAGAGAGAGGGAGAGGGAGAGGGAGAGAGAGAGATAGAGAGAGAGGGAGAGGGAGAGAGAGAGAGAGATAGAGAGAGAGAGAGGGAGGGAGGGAGGGGGGGGAGGGAGGGAGGGAGGAAGAGAGAGAGAGAGAGAGAGGGGGGGGGGGGGGGGGGGGGGGAGAAAGAACACACAACAGGGTACAAAACAAATACAGTGTATACTAAAAAGGCAATGAATGACCGAGTCATTAGAGATTTTATTAGTATTTCTCCTAACCATTCATAGGTTTGTGCTCTTATTTCGACACCAGACTGCACACAGCTTTCCACTAATTACACAAATGCTTCAAGATTTACAACAAAAAAATCATTTCAATGACAGTTACAATTAATTGTACTTACTAGGCATGTAACCTCTACATATGGCAATAATTCCTCAAATAAAGTAAAATATTGCAATGAGAATACATTCCTTATTCATAACTGAAATATAAATTGAGCTCAATTCCATTGTAGCTTTCAGATTCTAGAATATACACACATATAACTGAATGAAATGCTGAATTAGGAGGAAATAAAATTACTAGTATGAAAGATAAACAGTATTAAATTACAAATGAAAGATCTATGCTAATCTATTTCTTTGTTATTGGGATAAGCAACAATCAGTATTTTCTATCACAAAATATGATGAGGGAAGACATGGAAATACAACTTATAATTTTATCATTAGTAAACACATAATCTAAATACATTGTTATCAAATATCAACTCCTCCTAGTCATGATATATTCTTTATATTGTTCTGTGAACAGAACTTAACCACATGTAGAATGCTGCTATGTCAGATTAAATCTGAGGCAAACCATGAGTATCGTGTAGAGTTGTGTATAAGTACAATATAGGTTTGATGCTCTGGGAAGTTCCATGATGTTTTCATATACACTAAGGTGAAATGCACTAAACATGACATCTTTTAGTTAGGAAACTATTGACCTCTAAACTCTGACCTCATTCTGACTGCTACAATGCAAAAAACATGGATTCTATAGAAATCTACCTAAGACGATAATTTCCATTCACACGATGGACAAAATTTACATAAATTTCAGTTCAATTCTTCAGAGTACATCTTCTACATTAGGCGCAATCCTTTGGTTGTTTTAGGTGAGGTAATTTAATCACAACAGTCCGTAACAGTATGCACAACATTATTTTTTGTCTGTAACTGTTCACCATAACGAAGAATATCTAATATTGCATCGACTCTGAAACATTCAGTACAATCATATATCAAATTAGACATGAAAAATATTCACCATAGCATATGACGAGCCTGTTATGGTCATTATATTCATCAGTTACAAATCATTGTATTTCAACAGTGATTGGTCAGAATGCTGATAGCAAACGTTAGGTGTTGTTAGGTCAGAAAAGAAATTTGTTTTGTTGAACAAAGTAAACTCAAATAGCAGTTTGGTTTCACCTTTAAGTGACATTTCATTTTTATCTTTTGACCCACAATGCTCTAAATCACAAGCAATATATGAACAGAAAATGCAAATATCACTGGAAAATTTGAGTCCATTTCTATTGCAAAGATAACAGTGAAATCATTTCCTTTCGGAACATCACTGAGGTAGGTATAGGAATATTGTGCTTTAATTTGAATTAAAACAGTGCAATCGAAGAACAGTGATAGAAACAATTGAAAGTTTGATGTGAAATAAATTTGTTCTTAAACTCCCATTGTTCAATATTGTATGAAAGATCTACATATATTTTTAATTCTAGGAGTTAAAGCAAATTCTTTCAAACAAAAACTCTCTGAGGAAACATCCTAACATCTATAATTTGACAGCTGTCAGTATGGTGGGATATGCTAAAGAGCATCATCAAAATCATGCACTTCATGCCAAAAAAATTCATACATCTCTATTCTCTACTTTATATTTGATTCTATTTTTTTTCAACAATAAGTTGAAAAGAGTTGCAGAATAATAGCTCTGTGACAAATATCTAGCCTTAGATAATGTCAACTTTGCCTGGCGTAATCTATCTATTTCAATTAAAGGTTTTTAGATCTGTATACTTATAAATGTTAGCATTATTAGTGAGTATTATTTTTGTCCTCCTGTTGTATATGCATCTGTCAGAAGAAATATTAAGCATAATTAAAAAACTAAAAAATAAAAATGAATATTTGAATAAACTGTCAATGAAAACTACATTTGGAATGTGTTAGAGATACCTGCTGACACCAAATAATCTATCCTAGAGCTGTTTAATGATCCCCACGTAATAATAAAATATCAAAAATAAATCCAACAAAAAGAAAACTTAGTGCATCTCGCATACTGATACAGCAATAAAGTACTACATTTTGTAAAGAATCTTTTGAGAAAAGAAAAAAATACTACAGTTACAAATAGTGATTTCATTTTTCCATTCTGAAAAGAAAATAAGTCAATAGCAGTCTTCTGAACTTCTAACAATACAATATGAAAACATTTACAAAGTATGGTTAATTAATATTCTAGAATCCCTTGCCTTTTTGCACAAGTACATCAAAAGGAGAAATAAAATACAATAATTTTAGTACCATTCAATGTCAAATCGAACTTGTATTATGAACAATTTTGTGCTTTTACAAAGGTACAAGTAACAAGATGGGCTCACACACAATTAATTTGAAAATAGGGGAAATTAAATGGTAAATTCACTTGGACAAAAATATAGTGAGCAGTTCTGAATTAGAAGTTGTGCACAACCTCTTTCTGCACATGATACACATAATTTGAATGTACAGGCCTTTGCGCAACATGATATTGTTTCTTGAGAGTCAGAAGGGTTTTAAATTTACATTCAAAGCTAATGCCCTTTAGACTCTAAACAGATAATCATCATGAAAGAAATTGTCCTTCATCTAATGATTCACGCACTTTCTCTTCAATGTGAACGAGCTTTTCAATAATGATGACAAATGTACATTACTCCTTTCGTAATGTACAATACAACTCAAATTCTAACCAAATCTTAGAGCTACATGTATGCTATGTTAAATTACTTCTCACAATCAATATTCACATTTCCTTATCGTTTATACTCTTTTCTGGCAGTCGATGCTTGTCCAAGTAGATCCCTTTCAGGAACCTGGTCTTTATTCTGTGGGCCAGGCCTTGTTGAGGACCTTGACTACCTCTTCGTAGATCACGAAGACGAGGGCGACGTCCAGACAAACACGGGACAGACGAGGGAGTGTTCCTTTATAGAAACTATTTATAAATGAAAACAAAAAGAATGCAGATTATTAATAAAGCAAATCTAAATACTGAAGTGAAAGAACAAATTCAATATCATTACATGGTGGGTATAATGGCCGGCAGAAATCCACCTTTATTTGTATAGGAGATTCATTACTCCCTTAGCATTTTCATGAGAAATAACTCAATCCAGACAAACACGGGACAAACGAGGTAGAAACTATTAACAAATGAAAACAAAGAAAATACAGATAAAGCAAATCTGAATAATAGAGTGAAAGAATATAATCAATATCATCAAATAGTTGTAATACAGATGCAGAAATCCACTTTCATCTGTATTGGAAATTCATTACTCCACTAGCATTTTATTTTTTTATTTGTTTAATGAGAAATAAGTTTATGCGCGAATTAAACATAATATCAAAATTAAATCACTACCGAAAAAAATATACACTGTTTAAGAAGAAATGTCTCTGTTACAGTCTGATGATCATGGCATTGTAGGTTCTATGATAAGGAGTTCCTCTATTATTCTAACTATTGTAATATTCACATCGAACATAACAACAAATAATGATTTTGTAGGTTGACTCAAGTATAAATTTGCCTTGAAACATTCAAAATGGCCAAAGGCAAAACACCATTGACACAATCATGTCACAGTATAAATATTGAACAAGCATTTGCAAGCCTCTCTGAAAAAAATGTACTTCAATACCATAGGATCTGCATGAACAACTAATAGGAGCACAACTTACGCTTTGGCTCCTTCGTGTTTCCAGATCTTGACTGCACAGTCCCAGGTATTCTTGTATTTGTGGGCATCCAGACCCTAGAAAAAAATGAATGATTTGGAAAATTAATTACTCAAGATGAAATCAAATGTTTTATTCAAGCTCATGAGAGAAGTTAAAAAATAAAAGAAATTAAGAAGAAGGGTTAATAGAAGATGAAGAAATGAAGTGTCCAATAGATTGTCCTTTCAACTAACTTGGTTTGTGAAACAATATAAAAAGAACTAAATATAAACAAATATTCTATATTGTACTTGTAAAACTACCGGTAATCATTCAAACTAGTTCTTACTTTAAAATAAATTTTAATGAGGTCAAATATTGCAGGACCACTCCACCCTCCGATGATCCCTGCCCCCAACAACAAAAAGTTTTGAAATGAGCAATTATAGAAGTGTGAATTCCACATCCGCTCTCTCCCTCAAAGGATTACACTGCCAATCTAATGCTTACTATGAACTTTTAGTGACTTCCAAACAAAAGGTTATCTTGCAGACAAAACAAGACAAGACTGAGACAATGTACTGAACACAATTATAATATGTCTACTGAGGTTTGAGATAACAGACAACCCAAATAAGAGATATAAAGATAAAGAAGTAATGAAGGTCCTGACATTCTCAGGAGAAAAGATGTGTTGATGCGGCAAATGAAGTAACATGATTGATCATAGATATCTGCCGATTTCAGAGGAGGGTATAGTCCAGGGTCCCCTCTTATAAAGAGTTGATATCAATCACAACTTATTGGCAATTGATATCAATCGCAACTATGTACAATGTACATAAGAGATAGGAGACTGCAAACTTGCGATTGACTCTTTATAAGACAGGACCTGTATATGATCGGATCATTGTATTAAGATATAAAACAGCCACAAATAAGAAATAGGCTGGTGTGGCAAATAAAGTAAACATGATCATAGATATCTACTGATTTCAGAGGAGGGTATAGTCCTGCTGTATGTGATCGGAACGTATCAAGATAAACAGCCACCATTTACTGGACAGTTATATTCATAACTGAATTTTTAAACAGATTATTTTTGCATACATATTATTGATCTCTGTCCAATGTAACAATATCAGGCAGGGTATGATAAAAGTGAAAAAGAAAAGTAACTGCCTATTATTTGAAGGTATGGTATTTCATTCAACATATCAAATGTTTAAGTGAAGACCCTTACTCACTTCTGCAATGTCAAACCTTTGTAATTTATAACAAACATCAAAGAGTATCCATCATCTGCTCAAACATATCACATACAATTAGATTCCAACTCTATAGAAAGGTCTAATTTAAAGGAATTTGGATATTCCAACTTCTCAGATTGACACATTGACACCATAAAAACTGTTTTTAAAAAACCCACCTGTTCACACGGTGAATGGACTTTAAATTATGTGGCCTTTGCAGAGATCCCTTTATAATGAAAAGCCCCTCTTTTTCTACCTGGTCCTATGGCAAGCGTACATATGCTTCAGTGACAATTGCTCTGGCTCTATGTAATCACAGACTTATGGTGAGAGTTAGGGTTGCAATAAGGTTTTGGTTCAGGGTTAGTGTTAGGATTGGTTTGGACCAGGGTTATAGTTAGGAATTCTAGGGGTTGTTTCAAAAAAATCCTAAGTCAAACTTAACTCTAAGTTGGACTTAAAAATTATGGTGAGCTATTTGTAGCCTTAAAATAAAACATATTCAAAAGCAAAAATTCAAGTATTTTAGACTTTTCATTAATTCCACATCATCTCCTTGATAATAGAAAATATGAATGATTTGAATCAACATTTTTGCCTTTTGAAATAACTTTTTTACAAAATATTTTCAAAGATGCTAACGGCTTTCCATAATTGTTAAGTTCAACTTAGAGATAAGTTCAACTTAGGATCTTTGTAAAACAACCCCCAGTTGGTGCAAAAAATTATTTGTGAAGCAGTTGTCGCTGGAGTATGTGGTGTACAACCTGTCCTACGTACTGACCTGCATACGTGTCTTGATGACGTCCAATGGCGTGTTGCCGAACACACTGGCAGCTCCTGCAAAGCCACCAAAGCAGGCAGTGATCAGAGGGTTGATGTACTTGTTTGGGTCATCGCCACGGTACCAGTCTCGAAGGGAGTCCATGACGAAGAAGCGGATGGCCTGGTTGCTACCCTGCTTCATGATCGTGGCTGAAAGACCCTGGTAGGTACCACGTATACCTGGAGGGAGGGGCAAGAAATGAAGAGAGGGAGATTCTTAAACCTCAATAAACTACCTGAATAAAAATCACAGCAGCAAATAAAATGACACCTATTACAGTGTAGTGACTGTGGCTAGACAAAGTTTTTTTTTCTGTAAAAATATTCATTAACCGTCTATGAAACCTGGCACTCGTCAACTCCTTCAACCCATCTCGTGTCTTGATAATCTTTTCAAAGAATTCCTTGTACAGGTACTGGGCAAATATTCTCCTGTAACATCCATCAACCTTCTTGAAACCTGAGAACAGTTAAAGCCCGTCTGTACTAGTTTGGCCAGGGGTATTAGACCTCCCTGCAACGTCACTGACAGGGGTTACTTATCACATCAGCTCTCAATTGACGTAAGGAAAAGAGGATCATGGGGGACCAACAGGCACCGATTAGGCATTGTTGTTTTATAGAGGGCACAAGTAGCTATAAGTAGTGCAGTGGGCCTTTAACTTCTTCAACCTACCTGACGTCTTGATGATATGCCTGAGTCCATGGAAGAATCCCTTATACTGTGGCTTGGCCGAGGTCTGGTCATTGATGAACTTGACCTTGACCGTTTCCATGGGAGTGACCGCCAGAATGGCTTCGCTGACTCCCGCACCAAGACCGCACATGAGACTACCTGTCTTGCTTAGAGCGCCGTTGTGGCTGTCACGCCATCTTGTCTTCAAGGCCTCATTTGCTCCAAACCTGCAGAAGGTAGGAACAGAAAGAGACACTCATCTTTCAATTTCTTTAGGATTTAGATGAAATAGCATTATTTTGAGAATACTAGGATGGTTTTGCCAACTCCTGCACCACAAATATTCATTAGACTATCTGTCTTTCTTAGGGTGCTGATGTGGCTTTACCTTATCTACTGGCGTCATTTGCTCCAAACCTAAAAGATGAGAGGATGAAAATGTACGCTTGCTCAATTTCTTTATTTCTTTATTTCAATTTGATCAAATATCACAAAACAACAAAACGAAATGAAATCCATTGAGAGGGATAAAAAAAACTATTCAACTTCTGAAAAACAAGTGAATCTTCAACAATACTTTGAAGACACCAACAGGTGAGGGTTTTCTATATATGGAGTGAGCTTTTCAACCGGAGTCAGTTCTAGTTGTTGTTTTTTTAATTAAAAAAAACAAACCATTGTACTTTTAATGTGTAATAATTGTATATGGGATTGTGCAATATCTTTCTATCTTTGTACATGGTAACCTATTGGGGCTTGCATGCCTCTGGGCAACAGTGAAGTATTTCACTTTTGCGAACCTTGGCCCAAAGGTAACCATTTCTTTCCTCTTCTCCTTGCTTCTCATTTCCTTTTCTTTCTCTATTACCAGTACTTCTAAGATTATTGTACCAGTATTTACTACGTTGACTATACTGTGAATTTCTGATTTTTATGGCAAAATAAATAATAATAATAATAATAATGTCTCATGGTAGGTTATTCCAAAGCTTTGGAGGGGCGCAACTGAAAGTGCAATGTCAAGAGTTACTTTTGTTTTACGTGAGAAACATTTAGAAGCAGCTTGTCGTATGTTCTTACTTAAAAGAAAATAATTCAGACAATTAATTTTGGGATTGCCTATAATTCCAAGCCACACAGACCATGTGGAGAGTGAGCTAATCATAATCCATTCAGTGCAAACCGGATCATGATCGAAACTCACAGGTTTGTAGTAAAGAGAAAGGAAATGATGATAGCGGCTATCTACTCTATTTAGTACAAAAATAAGGTCACCAGTCTCTACGATATCTCAAGAAACGTCCTGCTTCAAAGGCTGCGTTATCATATTTTTACTATGGTGAAAGATAGGATTTCACTCTCCTTCAACCAGGTTAATAAATATGCAAAGCTACTGGTAGTGGTAGATCAAGATAAATGACTTTAATATGGGCTAGAGCTAATATCAATATGCTAAGCCTTAGACATAACCTTCATGTGTCCAAGCTCCCCATTTATTTAAAAGCTCTCTTTGTCCAAAGGTTAATTGATTAAAACGCTTTGAATTGCGTATTTGGTACATGCATTCCTGATACAGAACATTTAATTAGTTTGAATAATTACATATGGTCTGATACATATACATGTATAACTCTAATATGACATCAAATTAAAGATACCATATTATACAGACCTAGAGAGAGAGGCCTTAAGACTTTTTGAAGTACTATGAGATTCACATACTGTACATATTACAAAGCGTATACCTACTTTGGAAGTACTCTGGAAATTCAAGAATTTTAACTTATCATATTATCAAGATCAATAATTGAACATAAAACGATTACCCATTTGCCTGGGTATGATTTTGCAAAGTGCAGTTGCAATTTCACTTGGTAGGCTAATTTACAAAAACTAAAAGTTCTATCTCAATTATAATCTGGGATATGACACAGAAATTAACCCATTATGGACAACAAGAAAATCAAGAAAAGCAAACACGGAGAAAAAATCTATAGAAAGCCATAAAATAGGCTATACAAGCTATAGTTTGTGAATATTTGTCAGAGCTCGATTTGTCCATGCATTTGTCAAACAGGTAAATGACTACAGGTATACAAAAATATCCTTAATATTATGAAATGGGGCATAGCAGGAAATACATTGTACTTGAACCATAGAACTAAGTACATGTCTATAAACAGCACTGGAAATGCAAACACTCCTGAAATTTGGATCATGTTTTCCATAAGTCAACATAAATTGATTTTAATAGAGCATGCACGCAGCTGATGCAAATGGCAAACTTTGTACAGGAAATCAATATCACCTTCACAGATATCCATGCCTCCTAATTTTTATGAGAGAGTTTTTAACACATGGTGCGTGGTTAATTCACTTTGTGCAAGGTACATTGGCTGTGTTCATGTCATGATTTGGAGGGAGAGAAATACATATATTGCAAGATATACTGTATGTTTAGCACAGGCATATGGGCTTGTTATCTCATACAATGTATATACAGTCAAACCTGCTTTAGTGACCACCTGTCTACAAAGGCCACATTTGTTGTTTCCCTTGAGAATGGTTTCTCATTGAATCATGAACTAGAGGAACCTGTCTACAAAGGCCACTTTTTGTGTTTCCCTTGGGTGGTCGCTATAGACGGGTTTGACTGTATTATTTTTAAAAATGAGTAATGGCTGTTTAGGAAATGAAATTATGAAGGAAACTTTTTGCATGCCAAAGACAGCTGTTCTATCCAAGGGATCTAACAGGCTATACTTTGGGTAAATAATGACCTTAAGAATGGGAGTTATAAATTATATTTGTTCTGCATAAATTAAACTTTATATTAGTAAAGAGAAAGCTTTTGTGCAAATCTGGCTGGTTAGTAACACTGCAAGTAACACTGCAATATACTGTCCAATTTAAGTTTCTTTTCCTTTACAAAGACGGGTTACATACATGTACATGTATGTATGTTCTATGGTTATAGGAAATTCAATTCTTAGCATAGGAATAAGTATAAATGTTTGTTTAAATACATTTTCCCCATACTTATAATAACAATTGGTTAGCAGTTTCACATTCGATGTATCCATTTTCAAACAGATCTAGGACAGATGGTCTTGTCATCAATGAGTAATGAGCATCTATGTCAAAACTTATTGATCATTTTGCATGGAAAAAACGTAGAAGCCATGCTCTTAAAAACACTTGGCCCTTTTTTCATCAATCATGAATAAACTTAAAGAGGATAGCAGCAATGCACTTTTCAATCAGCCTGAACTGGCTATCTACTTCATGCCTAGGTAACCTTTCCAGTTTCCAGTACTCTACATGTAGGTTTGATCCAATAATACCAACCAAGATTTAAAGGGGCCCAGTACATGTAGAAAAATGAATAGCCATCATTTCTTTTGTGAGTCCCTCAGGGCTATTTTTGTTCCCACAGGATAGTTTTGCACATACTGTAAAAGCAGCTATTGTCACAAAGTGTAGATTTGCAATTTGTGTATGGCAAGAGAGGTAAGAAAGTTTCATGAATTGTGAATATTTAGTGTTGTGTCAAATGTGATTCAATGATTTAATGGCATGAAATCTTTGTGAATCTGAACTGCTTATTAAATTTGGAACATTTTATTTCAGTGGAAGTTTCTGGTGGTATGGTATTTCTTTTGTAACCAAGTCACAAAGAGGGCTTTATTTTTTTAAGCATAGGATAGGTCAGCATATAATTTACGATTGAACCCTCTCACTATCAGTCACGTTTTACCTCATAAATAAATTATATTTGATTTTGTAAAAGAGCACTCTCTCTCGTTGAGTTACATGTAAACATGTATGTTTGAAAAGCGATAAATTGTTAATTTACAATTAATATCAACACTAGGGGTTTTCTTCTTTGCAATTTTGTAAATTCTCTTGTGTTGAATTAAAAATGAATTGAAAGAATAAAGTTCTGACAAAAAAAAATGTGTCTGGTATTTAGAGGGCAAAACAAACAGTTAGAAGCTAAATTCATTTTGGCAATTTCATTCATGATACACCTGTACCTGATTGTGAGCAACACTGTATATATATATATATATATATATATATATATATATACAGCACTGTCAGGGTTAAAACTTGAGAATTTGGCAGCTGCCTCGATCCAAATTCAACCTGTTTGTTTGCATTATACTTCAACACCATCCTATTTTTGTAGAGTGTCTGGCTCAAGTATTTCGCTGCTCCCCTCTCGCAAGTTCACCACATTTATACATTCTAGTACATGCTCAAGTGGACAGCCTGCATCTTCGAAGTGCATATACTATGTAAATGATAGCAACGTGGGATATAAACCAGTGTGACATTTGCATCGGTAATAATGCTGGTAGCTAGGGTTCGTGGGTGTGGAATGGAGATAGAGAGGAGGATCATTGGAAAGTTTGTTGACATATATATGGGGGTTTATATCAATGGGATGCATGCAGAGTCATGGACAGGAGACTGAGGCATCTTCTTACTGATGGAGATGTTACATTGTGAGGCAGGTTTCTAGGTTTGAATGGGTAGTTTCTATCACAGAATATATTAAAGAGGGGGGGTTACGGAGAAAGAAAGAAAGGAAAAGAAAGAGGAAAAGAAATGAGGGAGTGAGAACGGATTTACATAGTATATCATGGAGAGAGAGAGAGAGGAGAGAGGGGTAGGGGTAGAGAGCGAGGGAGAGAAAGAGAGAGGGAGAGAGACAAGGTGAGAAGAGAAGAGAAAAGAGAAGGTTAGATAGAGAGAGAGAAATAGAGGGAGAGGGAGAGCTTGATATGAACATAAAGAGCATTAAGAGGTACGGTAATACATATGACTATACATGTAGATACTGTAATACAGAAAGAGAGAAAAAGACTGATATTAAGAAGGCAAATGTGAGAAAGATATATAAGGAGGAAATACACAAGTATATAAACTTTGTAAACTTTACACATTCCAGAAGATAAAAAAAAATAATCTCATAGCAGAATAATACCCACCTTACAGCTGACTTTGGTATAGACCCATATATAAGGGGGCTAAGACCCCTGTAGAGGCCCCTGGCTCCATGCTCCTTCACGGTGAGCTTGACACAGTGTATGGGGCCCCGGTAGAGAGGCTTGGCCGCCCTCTCGTCAAGCTGTAGCTGGGTCTTGACGTACTCCGTCGGGAAGGTGATGCAGATCTCGATTCCACCAGCGATTCCACCTGCAAATGAAAAGAAAACAGAGATGAGATGTGGTGGGGATGAGTTGGAGATGAGAGTATTTTCTACTAGTGTGCTGCATTTGGGGTATTCATTTATTTATGCAAATGAATGAATTTAATTATAGTCTATGCATGTTTAAACGCTGGCAATTTCAAAAGATTGACTCTCATCACCCTAATGCAGTACAAAAGTAATGCAGATCTCGATTCAACCTTAAATAATGAAAAGAAAACAGAGAGATGAGACGAGTTGGAGATGACAGTATTTTCCACTGCTTTTAAAAAAGGAAATGAATGTGTGTTAAAAAGCTAGTGTGTGAGAAAAAAATACAGATATGGCACGTGGTGAAGGGGTCAACAAATCATTACTTTATAAATAAACATACAGTACATGTATTTCTATTTTGATCATGGCAAATAATAGAAAAGCTATGGAATCTTTTAAGTCTTTTATGACAGAATACATGTTTGTTCACTAAACATCCATCAGATTGGAAATTAAGCCGTCATAAAGGATCATTTCATATGAGGGTGAATAATTACTGACCATGCCTATGACAATTTTTTACACTTTACACTATATTCTACGTTTATGAAATATGAACCATATTGTTCCAGTAGAGAAGAGGATGTTGTTGATTAAATTTTGAAAACAGCAGGGTCAAAGTTTGTGTTTAGCAATTAGTAGGCATGTAGAGTTTAGAGCTCTCTTTCTATATTTACTGAGTACCGGGTATGTAAACTGCCTGCACCTGTGATTGGCCTGAAAATTAATATGGTGATAAGTGTGTGTTGGAGTGGAGGCAGCTCTTAAACTTGGTCAAAAGAGAAATATTGAAGGCACAGGTTTACTACATACATAGGCCAGAGCCATCTATACACAGAGTTTGGCCTACTTGGTTTCACTGGGTCACAACATGGCTTATATTCTTTTGTTTTGTGCTTGCATGCCCAACAAAGCAGTAGTTGCCATAATGTGTCGAACCGGGTTGGCCAAACTCTGTGTATAGATGCATGGCTCTACTATAGGCTATGTACAGTCCACTAGTTTTTTTTTATATAACATGTGTAAGAAATGAATTTTCTAATAGTTACGATGGAATCACATTTTTCCTACTTGTATTCAATCCTACTCCTTCATGTAAAAACTCCACTTCAGTACATTTGATTCATAGAATGTTTGTGGAGCCATGCATGAATGCAAGTCTATATGCCACAAGGGGGGATGGGTGACATGAGAGTTCACAGATAGGGGTTCACAATTAGAATGGACACGCCCCACTTGACACACCCCCTCTTCTAATTTGCATATGAAAAGGAGGATTAGGAAAGAAATGCACTTGTCTGAAATGAAGCAAAGGTACAGGTGTACAATGTATGTATTCTTGTAGGCACAACTTTCAAGAAAAATATCACAGGAAGAAGACCATATTTGATGCATTTTGGTGGAATATATGGGGACTATTTCAGTACTTTCTTGGAGAAAAGTTGCCCAGATCTGTCATTATTATTGAGCACTTGTTATGGCTACAGTACCACTGCCTTATCATTTACAAAACAAAGCCTAAGGAATTCAAATAAGCCTGCATATACATGTGTAGACACTACTGGAGGCATAATAGCTTTAAAATTGAGAATTGATTGTATATTTACATGTAGAAACACATGACCAGACATCACAATATTTATCTTCTGACCTCAATTGGAAGTGATGAAAGAAAAAAATTGTATGTAACGGTAAGAAAGTTAAATGTTGATTTCAAGTAGTGAAAACTATTCAATTTGTAGTAACAGTAAAACTCATCAATTCAAATTTCAATGAGAGATAAATATGTATGTATAAGCATTACATTGCAGTGATTGCACAGTCATCTCAATTTAGGATTTTTTTTCTTCACTTCACAATGTCTATGAAAATTTAGCCTAAATAAATGTACACATGCACAGACGTAACGGCCCTGTACAAATATAAGTCATAAATATATGATTTTTTTTATATTACTGAGCTTTTTTAAACTGCTCTATTTATATTTATTCTTTATTGATTCTCTACTAGGCCTACATGTATATATAGATATCTGATAACCTCTGTAGACTATATGCATTGACTCAATACATACAATATAGGCCTATAAAGTATAATGTAAACAGAGAATTTGCTAAGCTATGAAGGTGATCTTCAAGTCATTGTGTGAATTGAACTTTGATTCACTGTGCAGTCTCTACATGTATGCATGACTGACCTGGGAAATTTTCCATTCATAAAACTAAAGTGCCAGTTAAATTCTGTACAGTCATTCTACCTTCTTTCCTTTTTCCAAATGTATGTCATAAAATGTAGGCCCATACTGTACATGTTGCAATGTGGCTACCCATGCAATACGTAGCAAACATGTATTTGTGCATAAATGTTGGTTTTAAATTAGAATACAGTAGAATAGAATATATTCTAAGAACTATAAATTGACAATAGATCTATCAAAATTAAGTACTATATTTCATTTAACTTGTGTCGAACAAAATTATAGCTATCAAATTAGAAGGGGGGATTTAAAAGGGATTTCAGACCAGTATCACTACCCTCATAAAAATGCAATCTTTAAGTTTGCTTCCAACACCCCTTTTGACTGATTTAAGCAGAATTAAATACCAGGTACATGTACATGTTGTACCTTTAAGGAGGGGGGGGGGGGTGAAGCTAACAAGTCATACTACCAGCTCTGCCACAGTATCCCACTTGGCAGAGCGTGCCTGTATCAGTATATCACTGTCATCGTAACCTACTGATGTTGATAACAAGTTTCCACTCATACCCTAGCCACGACTGGCGTAATATCAGTAATTGGATTTAGTGCACAGACGGGAATGAGAGCTTATCAATTACATTCACCACGGCTCAAGAGCATAAACACACATCCCCAGTCCCATCCATACACTCCTGATGGTGCTGATCGAGATAAGCTTTAAATCAAAAGGTCACTATATCATGGCAAACAAAATATGCTTACTTTTCTGTCTCGTATTTCAGGTGGATTTTAAAAAGAGCATGATCTTTCATGCACAATGTGAATGCATTTATAGGATTTTTTTTTAATTCCTTCAAAATTGTATTTACTAAAACTGAATTAAAAAAAAAAAATCTGTGAAAGGTACTGGTAGGTAAAATCTGATGAAAATAATCATTGTGTTCAACTGTTAAAATAAATGTAATCTACAATGTACATATTTAATGTTCAAGGTTCATTATTTACATATATGTACCATGTGCATACCATATATATCACAAAATGTATGTATATCAAAAACTTTACGGTAAATGTGCAAACTTGCAAAGTGAAGTTGTTTGAAGCTGAATGATAAACTGCTCACTGAGAAGCAGAACAATTTTTTTGTAGGAGTCTCTTTGGCAATGACTGCTAAGGCTTCCTTGAAAATTGCATGTACATGTACAGTGTACAAAGTTGTACACTTCCCTCAATACCAAACTTTGTTTTAATGAAAGAAAATTTGTTCTTCAATGTTCATCTCATAATTGACATGTAAAATTGCATTTTGTTAATTCTTTTTTCATGGATTTTGAACTGTCTTGTGAAAGGATCCTTTTAGATTTTATCAAGATTATCAAAATGCATACATGTAGGCCTACCCTGCTATGAATTTTATGAATTTCCTCTTGGGATTTGCTGGTATGTATTCATTCAATAAAAAAACACACAACTTCCTAGGTGTATCCTTCTGAGGAGATGTACAGGTACTGTAGTTGTAATATGCATACCGGTAAGAACCTACACCAACATTATTTACAATACACATGCAATACCAAATTTACATAATCCAGAGATTGTCTTTGCAAACCTTGGCTTTTGAAGCATGAGAAGATAATATAATAACAAAACTATACAAAATGAATTTTAAGAAGAAAAATGATTAAAGCTTTATGTGGACCTTTTGCAGGTGACGAATTACTAGAATCGAAATTGATGAGATGTAGGCCTACAGTGTTCTCAATGGAAACAGGAAACAGGATTTATTAACAAGGAACAATAAACTTCTGAAATCTGAATGGATGTTCTGTAACACTTGAAAGTTGATGTTATGAAAAGATCCTGAACGTTTTGTGTACCTAGTCTGAACCCCCCCCCCCCCCACAAAAAATTAACAAGGTTTTGTGAGAAACCTGTGGATTGCATTATTCTTCAAGGATAATGAACACCCTATTGTATTTGTATGCAATGCATCTTGGCCTATTTAAAGATACACAAATTACCTTTTGGAGTCCTGTATAACTTATAAATAGCACTTTATTTGATGGATGAAACAAGTGACTATGCAAATATTTCTATTGTAAAATAAACAATCAACCATGATGTAGCAGTATTATCAGGAAATGAACATGTGATGTGGAAGCCACACAGATCAAATGCTGATAATGAAAGAGGATATAGTAATGTGTAGTAGTTCTCAACCATTTTGATCTCAAAACCTTATTGCAAAAATCTTCAAACCTAAAGCAGGAAAGAGGCAGATGAAATGCAGAGAAGACACTCTTTGGTACAGTGAGGTTTTTTACACCTTTCCGCTCACTTACCCATTTCCCCCTCGTACTCCTAAACCGATACAGTCATGGTGAAAGCAAATGTTCAGGTACTATAGTTTGCTATCCTCTACACTTTGCTACCACATATAGTACATGTATAAATAGAAGAACGTAATTCCCAGGCCATTGGTTTTTTCTCTTAGCGCGAGAAGATATATGAAGTGATTTCTTCTTCTTTTTTAGGTGAAACAAATGGAAATTGCTCAAGACATGCTTTTTGTACAGGATACATGTACATGCATCTCCACTAACTTGGCCCTCTTTATCAGTCTGTGACTGTGAAGCCTAGACAGGAAAATTAGTCTATTTCATTTGGGGATATGTTCCATTAACAGTAGAATAAGGATCGTCTGCATAAACAAGAATCGTCTTTGTAAACGCGGACAGACATGTCCTAAAAAATAAGGATTTTCCGCATTTTCACAGACAATTCTTATTTCCGATCCACGCATTGGCGATGTGAAAAAACAGATTCCGCGATGATGCTTCTTGATGCATTTCACACTTACTTTGTACAGAGACTTTCATGTGGTGAACGATAAATCCTTGGGAAGAGGGACAACCCATAAAAGTAGACGGTGAACTGAAAGAATTGTATTACGCGGAATCCGATTTTCGCATTACCAGCGCGCGGATCGGGAACCCTACACCCGCAGAGTGCTGAAGAAATTTTTCCGCGGACGAACCTTATTTTTTAGGACGCAGTTTGTCCGCGTTAAAACAAGGATATCCTCGTTTATGCAGATGATCCTCATTCTCGGACCAGCGCCCCTACTGATTGGGAGATTTGTCTGGATTCATTGAATCCTTTTCCATATCCAAAGGCATAGACAAAATTCAAAGAGACTAAAAATCTCTTCCAGCTCCAAGATCAAGCCGATGGATCTGTTTCAGTCTTGTGAACTCCTGCTCTAAACTAAAGACTAAACTAACATATGATGAATAAAATTTCAGTAGATTAAACATAAAGAACATATTCTCATCATAACTCTAAATGCTGGAGAAATTAGTAGAACTATTTACTTCGTATAAATAAATCTAGGATTGATTTTGATTTGATTTTGAAAAAGGAACCTAAAACTTTTCTTCAAAACTCAAAAGTACAATCATTAAGTAACACGACGATATTAAATTAATGTTTATTCTTTATTAATAAAAAATAATAATAAAAAAGAATAAAGACAAAGTTTCTGTGAAGTTTACATTAAACTAGCTTTTTATTTTTCATGCAATCACTGTTAACCAATCTCGAATGAACAAAACTTAACATTTTCAAGCTAGTGAGTGTATTCTGCATGTGTGCCTAGCTTAGAGATTGAACATCAGACATGCATCACTGCAACATGTGCAATGCAATGGTTGTGCTGAGAATTGAATTGACTTGCCTGCGAGAATGGCTTTGCCAGGATGGGTCTTCTTGCCTCCCGTTCTGGGAGGAGCAGCCGCGGCGAGGGTAAGGGGCCTTGAACGTCCAAACGGGCCCACCGTACCTCCCCTGTCATTCAAACGAAGCTCTGGATTGTTTGGCAACGAACTCATGATTTCTGCAAAGCTCAAAGCTGAAAAATCTGTAAATTATAAAAAAAACTTTCGACGAAGTTTTCCAGCTCCTCAGCTCACACGACAGCTCAACTTGACCAGTGATATCGCGGCGCGTATGATCGGCAGGTTCTCGTTCTATTTCTCGCGCTGAATATCGCGTGAGCTTTTACCTTGTTATGTGTTATGAGCTACGTCATGGGGGTGTGTGCGGTCAAAGGTCAACTATAGCAGACAGCTACCCTTTCTCGCAATATCTCGTATAAATATCGTATGTCCCGAGAAAAAAAAAGACGTATGCGGAAGTAAGACAATGGTAGAATATGGAATGATCCACTATTTTGGAGGGAAGTCTGAAAGTATATCAAGAATATAAGCGATTCTCTATATTATAATTGCAATCTAAATAGTTCAGTTTAGATACAAAATTTATTTTCATTATTCAAAATAACCTGTAATGTATTTTAATTGACCATAGATAAGTTATTTAATATATTTGCAAATGACCGACCCAGTATGACCCTACCTATCAGTACATGTGTCTGGTTGCTATGCCGTCGCACATAAACAGCTAGCTGTATCGTGTGTACAAAATCTCTATTGACATGCTTTTCTGTGTTGAGAACCAAGCCATTCATTTCGTGCAGAAACAAGGCCAAGATTTGCTTGGGATATTGGAGTCGAGTGTCTACTTGAATAATTTGCTGCATAGTTCCTCGATTTATTTATACGAAGCAAAGAAATTGCATGTGAGTATTAATTGATTGAAAACCGAAAGTGATCAGTCACATATAAATTATTTAGAGCAATAAATAGACCTAAGAGTAAGACTGATTTGTCAAGTGATGTCTGACTCTGTGACTGTGTGTATTTTCAGTTGTGTTGTTAACCTGTTAGTGTTAAGTGTTATTGTTAAACAACATAGACTAATCCTGAACTGAAGTCATGAAGAGGCATCAATCATTATACTGTAAAGGAAAGTTAAAGAACTATGAATATGATATGAATGGTTTTTTAGACAATGTTGAACGGCCCTAGGCTAGATGCATGCTAATCAAAATGCATGTAGACTAGGCCTACATGTACACATATGACATCACACAAGTGAATTTGATTTGAGATAGCGAACTTGGGGTCACGCGCAAACTATGGTTACACGTCCATACATGTACATATTCTACAGTCATAGACTAAATATCTTTAGATAAACATTTTTGTTGATTTTGATCCTTATTTCTTTTAATCTTTAATACAGATCCCTACCATCCAACTCATCTAATCAGTCCAAATAAAGAAACAACATGTCTAAGCTCATTAAAGCACCCCAGCGTTTCACGCACGGAGAGTGGAACTATTCCAACCATGCCAACTACAACAGCGCTGAGAAGCAGCGAGCCAGTGCAGAGCGTTTGATAGACGAGAGCGACAGATTGATCGACGAAACGGACGAAGCTACAAAGAAAACTCAGAGAGATGTCAACAAGAAATTTGGTGAGTAATCAGATCTAATCGTTAGATCTAAACATTAAAGTTCAAGGTGTGGGTAGGGCTAGGGGTTGGGGAGATAGTTTGTAATGATCTAACAATTCAAGAAGTTCTTGGAGAAAAAAAAAAGAACCATTAGTACATTTACATACATGTAAATGTACATACAGTACTACATTTACATGTATCTGTGATAATGATACTTACTTCTTCTTTAGTATACTCCTTAATGTCCCGTTAGGTACCAAACGAGGAGGATGTCCCAATAATGATATTAATATTGACTAGCTACTGTACATGAATCGGGTGCATTTTCACTTATTTGAAATACTAAAATTAATGTCATTAAAAGATAGTGATGAAGCAATTCATTTTTGTACTCATTTTCACATAAGTATTTTGAAAAACTCAATTGGATCATGCTCCCCCCCCCAAAAAAAAAACAAAAAAACAACACAACAACAATAATAATTGGAAGGTATTGGTTCAAATTTTTTTTCAGTTTGACATGGCTACCTTTTTCTTTTTCTGTTGTTGATCTTAATAAATCTTGCTTAGTTTGTTTCACTTAAAATACATATGTACATGTATATTATATATATATACGTTTTAGATGTCTTTCTTGTATGTGTTTGCTTCATATAGCTGACAAGTACATAGTGCAGCTTCAAATTAAATTTTAGAGCTTGCTAATTGGAACTTCTTCTTTTTTACAATTGTACAGAGCAAAGATTGGATGATGTCACATACTGGAAGGATGAGCTGGATAGGAAACTCAAGGACAGCAAAGACGAGATTGAGATGCTGCTAGCCTACAAGACCAGATTAGAGAATGCCCTAGAAGCCTGCAGGGAACCCCTAGCCATTGTCAACCAATGTTTGAATGACAGGTAAAGAGAAATTGCAAAGTCCATCTTAAAGATGTTCGTGCATGGGTATATAGTCGTTCGTGAAGTAGGCAACTTGGTGATCACTAAACACTGAGCCAACGGGTATTACGCTCCTGTGCGTACGTCCATGTGCTGCCCTCTATATACCCACGCATGAGCAACTTTAATGTGGTGTGCCTTAATTTGCAAAATGATTTCAAATATTCAATCATGATACATGTAGGCAACAAAGGAGAATAGAAACAGACTAATACAATATTGCGGAAGATACTGTATATGTGCATATTTCAATATTCCATTTTCAACTAAATCAAGTGCATTCTGTATTAAACTAGATGTTAACAGTAAAATTGACATTATACATGTAGGCAACAAAAAGAGAATATTTAAACTGATTAATAACAATTGGGGAAGATATATCTGCATATTCAAATATTCGATTTTTGTTACCTAACAAGTGCATTCTGTATTCAATTAAATTTAAAAGTAAAATTTAACATACTGTATGTCATGTGTTTAATAAAAATGTGTTAAATTGCAGATTTCTCTTGAATACAGTAAACACAAGGGATCAGAGCAAATATGTATTTATTGTAGAGTCTAGTAGACCTAAGGCAGTGTGATTTTGTCAAATCAATAGGGCATGCCTTTTAAAAAAAATTGTTGTTAAAAATTATTCATTTCGATGAAAACATGACAATTAATGACATATTTTTCATATTAACAGAGAGGGTCGTATTGGTATTGACCTTGTCCATGACGACGTTGAGAAAAACCTGCTCAAGGAACGAGAGGTCATCATGGGCGTCATGGCGCTCCTGCAGAAGACCCTGGACCAGGTCATAGAACAGATCCGCATCATGAGGTCGCGTCGTTACAACTTGGAGAAAGACCTCACCGACAAGTTTGGCGCCCTCGACATCGATCAGGATTGCCGTAACCTCCGAGATGACAACTCCACGCTCCAGTTCAAAGGAGGAGTGGCCAAGATTGAAACAAAGTGAGTTTGCATTTTTCCCCTTTTCTTTTGTAATTTTTAAAAATGTGTAATGTACAAAAATATGTATGATTAAAAAATATGATATCTAAGGTTTAGAAAATTGATTTAATCATTTTAATTAGTCTGAGAGACAATTTTTGGAAATGGTAAAAATACACATTGTACAGCTGAAAATCTGATAAAACACAATTGTCTTCCCCTTGAACAGAACTAAAGGTTATGCATGTTACATGTGAGGATGTAACTTGTCTGAGGTTTTGTATTCCTTGGAGGGGGGGGGGGGAGGGGTGATGAAAGAATGGTTTATATGGTTTTTGTGATTACTCTGTTCCTCACAATTTCAATTAATTTGGCATGCATTTGCAATGGCCTTATCTTTAACAGGTAAGAAGATGTTACAATTTGAAGAAGAACAAAATCTGAATAATCACTATGCCATGACCATACATCTCCATTTACCTTTAAGTCATCATTTCTAAATTTTCCTTTTTACATTCACAGTTCTGTCACACCAGAGGACTGGCAGTCCTTCTCCAACGAGAACATCCTCAAAGCCGAGCGGGATCGCAAGAACAGCGCTGACCTCCGGGCCGTGGTCGATAGCCTCTTGAAAACGACAGCTGACGACATGCAGCAGCAGGTGGACGATACCAACCTGGCTTTCAGCAAGCGAATCAGGGAGACTGATATGACCAAGGGCAAGCTGGAGACTCATCTAGCCAAGGTAAGCAAGAGATTTGTTTGATTATTTCGCCCTTTATTCTCAATCTTTTTTTGTTGCCCCTAACGATATGTTAACTTTATATATCATTATGTCATAATGTTCTATTGTATTGTACATTTAATATTTTTTACAAGAGGAAAGTTTGTTTTGAGAAAGACCCATCTCAACAAAAAGTTTGCTCTGCATTTTTGGGGTATTCTACAAAATATCAGTTTTACATATTACTTCAGTAAACATGTATTGCAAGATAAAAAATAATTTTATTCATAAATGGTGAAAGAGATATAAGATTAGCCAATTTAACAATATCATTTGATTTAACTTTCAGAGAAGTTAACTTCAAGTCACCTTCTATGTTGGCTTTAAAGTTTAAAAAAAAACCATAACACTTTAATGTGATTCATGGAAGTGATTATATATCTTCTATTCATTGTAATACAAAAAAAAATTCGGGGGGGGGGGGGGGGTGGTACTCTGCACTCTTTGGCACAGTGTTGGCTCGCTGCACGGAAGTTCACAGGTCATTAAATTGCTTAGTAATATTTTTTGAATGAATAACAGAGAGTGAAACCTTTGTTTTCAAATAAAAATTAGTAAAGTTATTATTTCTATTTTGCCTTGTCAGGTTGAAGGTCAGATGAGGGAGATGGAAGAGAACATCCAGAAACTTCAGAAGGGCGTCGACGACAAGATGGGACCCAAGAAGCTCTCCGAGACCCGCCTTGATGCCCGCACCAACCGCCCTAACGTAGAGCTGTGTCGGGATCCTGTGCAATACCGCCTCATCGGCGAGGTGACAGAGATCAACACCAGCATCGCGCGTCTCCAGGCAACGCTCGCTCAGGCCCAGTCAGAGCTGAAGGGTCTGATCAGGAACCAGCTTAACCTCCAAGAGGACATTGATATCAAGTCGCAATCGCTCAACGTCGACGACACGCAGTGCATGACCCTAAGGCGAAGCATCAACATCAAGAGATATTAAACAAGGACTTTAAAGTTACACACTTAACAAAAAAGGTAGTTGTCAAATTATATAGTAGCGGATGAAACTCAAAAAGTTATCCAAGACATGAATTGTTTGACCCTCAGCTGAAGCAATGATGTTAAAGAGACTTTATTGATAGAAGTTACTCTAGGCTGTGTCAAACTACATAGTGTAGAGGGTGAAACTAACAAGTGATAAAGAGAAATGTACAATATATGTACATGGATGTAAAGGTACAATGTTGTTCCCGAGACTCATCACAACCTATCCACATGAATCCCTATTCTGCATTCGACTGTACCAAAGTTGCTATACTCACACAGAGATATGATGCGAAAGAATGTAAACGGCAACTAAGAAATTTAATTCACACAAATTTTGATCAGTTTCCCTATTTATATTCCCCATTTCAAGACCTCTTCAAGCAAAACCTAGACAAAAAGGGATATTCATTTTGGCAGACTTTTACCATCAAAAATTTGGGTGGAGGGACATTGGGAATAGAATTTCACACATTTGCACTCATAGTTGAATGGTCCATATCTGAATGTCATTTTTTATCTATTCATAGATGATCATTTACTGTGAAATGCTATATTGTTACATGTATGCATTAGATAACCAGCTTGCATATGAGGTATAAAATAAAAGTGGCCATGTGTCATATACTTAGTTCTGAGTATGTGATGCAAAGTTGATGATTAAAGTGACCTGTTAGGCATTCGAAAATCAAATTAAAACTCATATTCATATTCTTCTGTCAGCTTTTTAAACATTTCTATCCGTCCATAGATGCATTGGAGTATACTCCTCTGTATATTCTTGAAAGCAAAAAAGTTGTAAATATTTTTTTTTGTAGAGAAAAATCATGAAAATATATGATCCTTTTATGTCTTAGTTTCTCTCTTCAATATATACAATGTTTGTAGTAAGCACTTTACATATTATAAAAGAATATGAAGCTAAAAGGAAAAAATTAATTCAATTTAAAACACAATGAAGTTTTTTTTGTCTCATTTCTTGCGAGTAAATGTACCGGTATGTGTTTGTATGTGAATTTGTACATAAAACTAAAGATAGTAAAAAATAAACTTATTTGAAATTGAACATTTGCCATGTCTACTTTTCTTCTGTACAAGTCATATTGAAAATAAATGCTAATTTATATGTATTAGAAAACAGTGAATTGTCAAATTTTATGTCTCCTTCAGTAATAGAATTTGATGGGGGGGGGGGGGGGGGGGGGGGGAGCTATGAAATGTGGTAAATTGAAGAAAAGAGAAAAGAGTAAATTAATTTTAAACACACAAGTATTGCTCCAAACTCGTCTGATTCTGAATATTTCACCATCTTTAATATCCAAAAGAAAATGAGATCATATCGTATATCATTAATACAATATTTTACATAATCATCATGCATTATAATAAAAGTGTAGAGGAGCATCCCTTCGGAAGATCTTGCATAATTAATTACATAATTAATTACATGTACACATACACAATATTTTTTACGGCACTGTTTTCCTCCAGATTTTTTAAGATTAATTATAATATAAGAGCAAATTTGCAATGAAAAACAAAGCAAAAATATTTTGTCAACGTATAATCACCCATTACTATCAATATAAATATACACTGTATAGTAAAAATGATTCATTTTCAATTTGCTTCAATTCTAATAAATTTTTCATCTTCGCTGCACATAGAATACAAAGGCTTGAATTCATGAAAATCATATCAAATCCATGCGAGAAAGCTATAAAGTATACAGTCAAGATGTTCTGTGTTCCCAATTAACATCTTCAACTCAAAGATTTATTAACTGGTTCATTACCTAATTCTCTCATTCTCATAGACTTATACACAGGGGCCACTTGGTTCCTGTAGTCAATGGGTTATGGTTCAACCAGGGGCCAAATTCTTGAAATCGTCATGAGACCAAGTTCGTGGACATCCCATAGAAACGCATGATATTTCTATAACACACGTTTCAAGGAGATGTCCATGAAGTTGGACTTATGATGGTTTAGAGAACAGCCCCAGGGTCCTAGATATCAGACATTATTGTCTGAAGTCAATCAGAAGGCAGCAACAGTTCTTGTTATTAATTCATTTTATTAGAGGTATAGACTGCACAGGCACATTTCACTCGGGGTGCTAATGTTTCTTGACTGAATATCAACCTTTTTCTCTTTCTTTTGGACACTTTATATTGTAGAGACATTGACTGTTTGGTACAGTGTCTATCTTTTTATCAACTTTTAACCTTTAGCTAGTAAAGTTCTCTTACTCCTATAGGCTTAATATAACAATAATCCTGCTCAATGTTACATAAACAATCGTTATGCATGATATGAAGAAATAACATTTGCAAAGTATAACAAAATATGGAGAAAATTGTTTTACCCTAAAGTTCTAAGCGTGCATTCATACTGTAACAGGAATGACTGAAATATGAAAACAAAACAATATCAAATGATGATGGTGGAGTATAAATTATGAAAATAAATATGCCAAATTAGTAAAGACATAAAATACAAAAGATATAAAAAGAAAGGTTAATTGAAACATGATATATGACTTCTAAACTATCACCATATTGAATGCAACACTATTTTCCACAGGTTAATTTTATGAAGAGTTGCAGGGAAGTAGACATTGTTTCATCAAAATGTCAAAACATCTGATATTGTTTACCGTAATCTCACAGACCAATATTCATAACAGCGTACCAACTTCACCCCTGTTTTAGAGAGGGCAGATTCAGTCCACTTATCTATGAAGCACCAAGTGTCGAACTCTACATCTCATAAAAATCATCATATTTCTGTTACTGAATGAAAAAAAATATAAATCATGTCAACATGAAATCAATTTCTCATTTCATATCACGACTCGATCAATTTCATTTATTCATATTTGCTGCAGAATCACAGCAATTTGTTCAGCATTAAGAGCTCAAAACTTCATAATCAGACAAGGTCACTTAACAAACTTGGTAGCACAAAATAATTTACAGACATAAGGATGGTCTGATGACCAAATTGCACATGATCTGAATTTTGATTTTGATTAAATCCAAAATAATATATGTGAGTCATTCAGACAAGAATGATTTAGACTTTCGATAGGCCAAACAGGAATGACAGTATCCCAGTTGGCCAATATTGTGTTTATTATGGTCATTTTGGACTCCATTTGGGGTGAATTTGGGTATTATTCATAAACCACATACACCCTGTCCTGAATTACAGTGATTCAGTTCGCTTTTCCCCTCCCAGGCACAGGTGACACCAAATAATTAATAATCAAGAATAATAAATCATAAATTTCCTTGATTAACGCAGTTCTCACACTTCATCCTTTTCAATACCCTATTACCTTTCCTTACTCAATATGATGTCCAAGGGATAAATGTGTGTCAATGAGCCGGAACCTCCTTTTCTGCTCTATCTGCCTTATACTGCCTGATATAGTGGATGATTTCAAATCCAACCTGGACAGAAAAGAAAAGAAAAGAAAGAAACAACATAGAGTTATCATCGAGGTGGTTAATTTTGCGAGAAGAGGTTGTTATCATGATGCACCATTGCCAACATCACAACTCATTTCATTCCTACTTTCATAATCATTATGAACTACATCTTATCATTATTATCATCAAATTCACTTTCATCTTTATCATTGTCATCATAATTAGTAGTATCAACGTCATCACTATCATCAGCACTGTTTCAGCAGTAGAATCATCATTTCCATCCCTGTAATCATTATTACCCATCATCATCAGAATGATCATCAACACCACCATCCTGATTCATGACCATTGCGATCATCATTGTCATTCCCCTCCTCCTCACCATTAGAAGCACCACCACCATCATCATAACCATTATCTTTATCACATTCATTACCACCTTAATCATCTCATAATATCCATCATTGCCATTATGCCTCCCTCTCTCCCTCCCTCCTCCTCCTCCTCCTCCTCCTACCCCTCCTCCTCCTCCTCCTCCTCCTCCTCCTCCTCCTCCTCCTCCTCCTCCTCCTCCTCCCCCTCCCCCCACCCCCCCCCCCCTCCCCCCCCCCTCCTCCTCCTCCTCCTCCTCCTCCTCCTCCTCCTCCTCCTCCTCCTCCTCCTCCTCCTCCTCCTCCTCCCTCCTCCTCCCCCTCCCCCTCCCCCTCCCCCTCCCCCCCCCTCCTCTTCTTCTTCTTCTCCTCCTCCTCCTCCTCCTGCTCCTCCTGCTCCTCTTCCTCCTTCCCCCTCCTCCCCCTCCATAACCATCATCACCACAAATTCCATTACCTCAACCATGATAACAACACTAATCATCCACTCTAATCGATGTGAGTGCCTATCCTCTAGATGAGATCTCATCATACCCATCATTACCATCATCATCATCATCATCATCATCATCCTTCTCCTCCTCCTTACCATCATCATCACTACAAATTCCATTACCTCAACCATGATAACAACACTAATCATCCACTCTAATCGATGTGAGTGCCTATCCTCTAGATGAGATCTCATCATACCCATCATTACCATAATCATCACCACCATCATCATCCTTCTCCTCTTCCTTATCAACATCATCATCACTACTAATTCCTTACCTCGACCATGATAAGAACTATAATCATCCACTCTAATCGATGTGTGTGCTTATCCTCTAGATGAGATCTCATCAAATCCGCCATCACCATCATCATCACCACCATCATCATCCTTCTCCTCCTCCTTACCATCATCATCATCATCATCATCACTACTAATTCCCTTACCTCAACCATGATGAGAACTATAATCATCCACTCTAATCGATGTGTGTGCTTATCCTCTAGATGAGATCTCATCAAATCCGCCATCACCATCATCATCACCACCATCATCATCCTTCTCCTCCTCCTTACCATCATCATCATCATCATCATCAATACTAATTCCCTTACCTCAACCATGATGAGAACTATAATCATCCACTCTAATCGATGTGTGTGCTTTTCCTCTAGATGAGATCTCATCAAATCCACCAACTCTGTGCAATGATTCAACTTCTCATTCATGACCTGAGAAAACAAACAACAAAATACAGAAATGCTTGAATCTGAAATGCTCACTGGTTGAAAAAAATCTTGCGCTAAAAAACTTTTAAAACTAGTAAATTGCAATTGATGATGGGAGAATGGCACACATGCGATGCACAGAAAGTTTTGTCTACGAGCTCTTAAACATGCAAAAAATATGGAACGTTTAATTGCTTTCAAGAAAAATCCTCTTGATCTTCATAATAAGAAATGGCAGATATCTTGTTTAGTAATTTTGTTGATAAGTGAACTAGTAAATTTAATTTTGCTATATATTCTTTGTCTATAAAAAGATGTTATTATTATATATGAAAATTACTTTGAAAATTAAAATTGTAAACAAAAAGGGGGAAAAAAAAGAAGAAAAAAAAGAAGAAGAAATAAATTGAGACTTGAGGAAGATGGAACAGACGACAGGTGAACGTTTTTTAAAGGAGTGTGTGATGATCAATCCCTCCTATTTGACTCACATTTGTTCTTCTTGAGATGCTAAGGAACTGGCACATCTTGTTGTAGACGAGTTCCAGCTCCTCCCGATCCCAGTAGAAGTCCGGTGAGATGAGCAGATCGGAAGAGAGGTTGATACGATGCCGAAGACCGAAGAGCTCGCCGGTCTTCTTCATCACTTCTTTTCGAGACAGCTTCACCCCCTTACCAAGCTTCATGTTCTGCTCGTGAGGGGGGGGGGGGGGGGGCGGTGGTGTGTGTAATGGGGGAGGAAGAGAGAACATTGGAAATTAAAATATGAATGTATTTGACCTTAAATAGAAACTAAACAGTCATTATTTCTCAATTTCTCTATTACTTAGGTGATTGCAATCACTTATGTCAGTTCGACAACTAATGGTCGTTATTTTTGCACTAAAAGCCATTTTCAAGCCCTTTCGTTTTGAGGAAAGTTCTACATTAGTATTGTCTTTCAAATGCTGTTGGAATTTAACCTTTTCATTTTTTGGCCTGCAAATGGGACATACTACCTTTAATAAAACAAGAAAAATGGCTTCACTCCCTTACCAAGTTCTGCTCGATGGGAGATAGGGAGGATTTGATGAATTAGGGGAGAGGCCATGAGATAATCAAATTGGAATTTCTTGTATAGAATGAAATCCAAACAGTTAGAGTATAGTCATTTTAGATGTAAATAAGCAACACAAATTGTCTGTTCCCTTTATAATCAATGTAATGTTCTACTCACTAGAATATATTCAGTCGAGTGGCAAGGTAAACTTCTATGAACAGTGGTCTTGTCAAAGCATATTAGAGCTATATACTACTTCATAATATCTTTCAGTGTAAATGATAGGGTGTTGGCAAAGGAATTCAAACGGTTTATCATACAAGGAATTTTTCTGCTATTAAATACATTTCTATCTCGCAATCAATGACGGTACATCGTAAGAATAGGATGTTAAAATCTTACGTCGGGAATGTTTTCGATGGAAGACACAAACTGATCCAGAGAGTATTCCCAGATAGCCAGCTTTACTGTTGAATAAAAGACAAGAAAACTACTGCATTACATAATTGTTTAGCTAAAAAAAAAAAAATTCACGAGTAAATGCTAAAATGCATCCACCAATATAAAATCTATTTAACAGTGGAGGGTCTGTCGATTTGCCATAATACACACCTAAATATTGAAACAAAATAGCAAATGAAGAATAAATAAATAGGTTTTCTTGCCAAAAGAGAATATATTTTGAACTATTTAGGGGAAGAAAAAAAAAGGTCAATAGCTTGAAGAGAATCTGCAATGGATTTCAGGTACATAAGGTACATGTTGGTTAGCTGTACATCAGCATTACAATAACGTTATACCTAACCTAGAACCCAATGGCAACACTACTTGCAACCCTAATCCTATAAAGTAAAGGAGCTCAAAATAAATTTCATACATCACATGGCTGGACTAACCTGATAATGCCATGGCGTTGGCGAAAGCAAATTTCTCCAGGGCCGTCTCGTTTGTGGGCCTTGCGCTATCGAGTAGTATGTCACCCTTCACTAGACTAGTGGCTTGACTGATAAATAGGAGAGGAGAAAGGAAATACAGCATGGTTAATAGACCAGGGGGGTGTTTCACAAAGATTCTAAGTTGAACTTTTTTCTAAGTTGGACTTAAAAATTATGGAAAGCCGTTAGCATCTTTGAAAATATTTTGTAAAAGTTATTTTGAAAGGCATAAAATGTTGATTCAAATCATTCATATTTTCTATCATCAAGGAGATTTCATGTTCTGGATGTGGAATTTATAAAAAGTCTAGAATACTTGAATTTCTGCTTTTGAATATATTTCATTTTAAGACTCCAATGGCTGTCCATAATTTTTAAGTCCAACTTAGAGTTAAGTTCTACTTAGGATCTTTGTGAAAACACCCCCCAGTTCGTAGTTAGCACATGGGTCATATGACCCCAAATATCCACATATCTTTTAAACATAGATAAATCCAACTTTGTGCCTTTTGGAATAATCACAGCTAAAGTCATGGAGGTGATTCTTTGTTTGCCCTCTTGAAAACATTACTCCCACCTGTATTCAATAGAATGCATCACAGATGCATGCATGAATAATGATTACATACCTTACGTGAGCATGTATCCAGTATTAGTCTCAGTGGGTTTTACAGTTTTGTTCAAGTGACCTTTATCTGCGCATGCTCAGATTGTATCTACGAACTGGTATATTCAAGTTTCAAGTTTCAAGTTTCAAGTTTCACGTTTATTTATCTTTCTTTCATAGCACACATTACAAATATGACATGAATATTAAAGAGTGAACAGAATATGGCGTTACAATAGATGTATGTCCTAAAAGAACAAACTCGTCAGATAAGAATAATGCGTACATTTAAATGCTTACAAAACTAAACTAACTAAACAACTGAGAAAATATTAAACATAAATAAGTACAATAAAATCTACTGACTACTAAATAATGGCTATAAACAACAGCAACAGGAATATACTACGAGCAACAGGACTGAAACATAGACAAAAACTAAACAAGACAGACAGATGAAAAGATGTGAGAAACGGGAGTAGAATTATGCTGACCTATATAGCAAATAATTTTCTTAAATATTGATCACAACTACATGTATAAATCTAGACGATATTGACTCAAATACAGTAACTTCAGTTTGCATTCAACAACTTGAAGAAAAAATAAATTGTGATGCCTTTTAGCCAACTGCATCTCCTCTCTCACCCTTCCAAATTTGTCTTCAGATCAAACCTCAGTACTCAATGGCATTAATTTAAAAAAAAATTCATGAGCAAAGACAAAAACATAAAAGGAAGATTTTGTTTAAAGGCCCACTGCACTGTAGCTACTTGCGCCCTCTATATAACAAACAATGCTTAATCGGTGACCATTGGTCCCCATGATCCTCTTTTTCTTATGTTAACTGAGAGCTGAGTTGATGAGATAACCACCTGTAAACTATGTCAGATAAGCTTTAATCCATTGCTGACAAGGCTAACCCCCCCCCCACTTCATCTGTCTATCATTCCCCCCTCCCCTTTAGTGACATGTCAAGCCACGTGTCAACCAAGATTCCTCAGTGCTATTAATGATTTTTTAATGTCCATTGGAACTTTGAAGTATTCTAATGGCTCAAAATCAGTATTTTCTTGATGGAGTTTATATCTCTCAAATAAACAAAATGTATTGCTAGACGTAATGGATCTTCTGAATCAGTATTTTGTGAGAAACCTTTAGTATTCTCCTAAAGTTCTAAACCTCTATTTATACAACATAGGTAATCGGGGCATCATCGTAGGTAAAAGTTTGCAAACATCCTATTGAAACACATACGATTATACATGTTAATGGGATACCGGTGTCGTTGTACAAGCGAAGGTTTTTGTGAAACAATGCCTAGTACTTATTTGTAGGCAAGCATACATCCTTCTGACTTACTCATGATAACCAAAGGTCATTTGTTCATTCTCCCAGTTGACCAGTGCTATTTCATAGGGCTGGTGCTGATGCCGACTGATGATCCTCATCACTAGCTTGATCTGCAAATTGGCAAAATATTGATACATTATACTACTGGCTGATTATCCCTTGCAAAGTGACTTCAAAATCATTACAAGGGCATTGGGGAGGGGTTATGTCTGCATTTTAATCTCACAAACCAGTAACAGCTTCCATTTATACATGCATATATGGTAATGTGTTTGTGGGTTAAGTCTCCTACTGTATAAAGATTTTGCTACCATCTATTGAAATATAATTCACTAGAGAGAGCATGTTACCATGGTTTATTCACTAGACTTAGAATCAGAAGGTTTGGAGTTCAAATTCTTTGCTTTAACGTCCTTTGGCAAAACGTCAATGTACATTTGCCACTCTTGGCTCAAGTTTAGTGAATGTACCAGGAGGAATTCCCGAATGGTAGCCTAGGCACAGCTAATATTTTCAACCAAATTATTTCTATTCATGAACAGCCCATTGTACTGCAACAGAAATGGACTCTAAATTTTTCTTTGATCTTTGCTCTCTCTGGTAATTTATTAAGTCTAATTCAGAGTGTTCTGTGAATAATAAAAAGACAATACAAAAATGATACTAAAACTGCTGAGGTTGAAGCCCCTCTGCACTAGTTTTGCCAGGAGGGATTAGACCTCCCTGCATGACAGGTGGTTATCTCATCAAATCAGCTCTTAATTAACATAAGAATGGGGTATCATGGGGGACCAATGGTCACCGATTAGGCATTGTTTGCCATATAGAGGACGCAAGTAGCTATAAGTAGTGCAGTCAGGCTTTAACTCAAGTCTAATTTACCTCTGGGTCAGGAACATTCCAGAAGACTACCGACCCCTCCCTGAAGAAGAACATCTCACCAGGCTCATCTACTTCCTGGCCCTTGTAGTATTCATCAGACAACTGCACGTGAAGGATGTCATGGGCATCTAAAATGAAGAAAAGGTCAAAGATATACAATTCCTATAGGTTACCAACTGCATCAAAGATTCTAGTACATCTAAAGAATGAAATATATTGATATTCCTGCAGTGTTAGAGATTGGAACAAAGCAAATATCAAGAATTATACCTTTAGAAAGATTATTGTTCGTAATGCCAAAATTTTCCAGATGTCGACACGGTTCAACATAACTGTGTTGACAAAACTAATGATGACAAAGCGAATAATCATGAAATGACAATTTGAGATTGGAGTGTTGGACCATACAGACCCTCCAAGTAACCATTGAAGACATTTTCTGATGTGCGCCTTGGCATAAACAGTATTTCACAGGACAGATTGTGGATGTGGACCCTTCTAGAAGTTCAATCTACACCCTCTATGGGACACTAGATCAAGGGCTTTACTTGGAACCATCGGCTCATCACGTCCAGTTGGAAAGTTGCATTACACAACCAGAGCTACCAAGTGTCACACATTAGGCGTGACATCACGCATTTCGAGGGTCTGGAAATGCTCTCAGGCACAGCGCGCGCGCTAGATTTCGAAAAAACGCTATACCTTATACGTGTGTTATACCCTCACACGCACGCTGGCATGCCGAAAAATGAAAATGTCAGGCATTGCCGATCTTTGAACTTGGCGTCTCTGCACAACCCTTTTTTAAACGAAAGTGGAAGATCATGTGAAGATGCTAATTAAGGACTCTACCTTTTGTAGATTTGCTGTAGGGTTTCCACAAAGTGTCGGGTAAGTGTCGGGTAAATTGGACCAGACCACTTGAGAGGGGTTTATTTCACAAACATTACCTGCATCATTTCGTAAACAAAGGGGTATGTTTTCACAAAAGGTCAGGTAACTAACCACACGACCTGACGCGATGACCCCATGATACAAAGTTAGCCAGGTAATGGAAGGCACCAAAGGTCATGGAAGGCACCAAAGGTCATGGAAGACACCAAAGGTCATGGAAGACACCAAAGGTCATGGAAGACACTTAAGGGGCTATGCTTTAACCTACTATGCTTACCTTGAGGCATCTCGGCAAGAACAAACTTGTTCTTCTGAATCTGCAGGTCATAGCTGAGGTGCTCCAAATTGTATTCTTCTGCTGTAGTGAATGCAGTACATAAATAAGCATTCTAGAGAGAGAACAAAAAAAGGAGGGTCTAATGAATGAAAAAATTTCCTTCCCTAAATAAAAAAAAATTGCTACAGGACTTTTTGATCAAAAGGTAATACATCTTAAAACCCCATAGAAATTACAATCAGACTATGGATCAGAATTAGAATGTGATTAGATAGTGTCGATGTCTATTAAAAATTATTTGATTTTTGGTTTTGACCAGTATTAATGCCTTAATACCTCTTGAAGCTCTTCAATGTTCAAGTAAAATAAAATTTGGGGATTTTTAATTCTTACTTTTCTTGTTTAAGATTTACATTAAGAGAAGGAGAACAAAAGAGAGAAGAAGAAAAAAAGGAACAAGAGAATGAGGAAAAGAGGAAATGACTAAGAAGGGAGGAAAAGTAAAGGCTAGGAGAAAAACATAAATCATGAGATGTGAAGAGATGAGAAAGAGCGCATATTGTCACAAATCGGACTGCTTGTTTAGGCCCTCACCTTCTCCGCTCCTTTGTCGAACCTAGACGGTTTCTTGGTTCTTGGGCGGGGCACCTTGGAGGAGACCTTCCTGCTGTTCCTCTCTCCTTTCTCTTTGGTTGCAACAGCGGCTGGAGATGTTGGTTTGAAGACGACAGGTTGCTCCAACCAGGCATCCGAAGATTTAAAACGTTGATGTTGAGCCCATCTGCCTGGCCGCAGTGATGCAGATCTCAGTGCTGAATATACAGGTTTCTGATTGTGGTGGTGCACAGTTCTGCTTACATTTCTGGACTGTCCAATGGCAATGCAAGATGATGAGAGGTGGCATCTACTCAAGGCATTTCCATGTTGTGAAATGCATTGAAGTCCCATAAAGTTACGGTTCTGAAATTTGCTTCCTGTGGCTATTTTATTTCTGAGCCCGATGACATTCATCGATTGCATGGGAAAAGGTTTCCCAATTAATCTTGGCCACAAATTTAGTGACATGACAAATGATGATCACCCTTCTTTCAGTAAATTTGTGAGAGGACTGTTCCAAACTTCTGAGATAAGTTGTTAATATATTTATAGACTATCTTGAATCAATTCAAAACAATTCACTATGAGTGAGTATGACTAGCCGAACTACTTTTACTAGTCCAGGTGGTCATGCAGGTAGATTCTATCTATATATTGTTAAAAATTCTCTTTTCACTTCACTTCAAGTTCAAGTTCAACTTAAGTAGAGGTCGAGGCCGGGTCTACAAACTTGCCCTCCAAAGCAAAGAGGGAGCTGATTGAGCTGAGTAATGTTCATCTGACTGGATGGCAACAATGCAATATCTGACATGACGCGTTGTTTCTTGTAGATAAGATTACCTTACAACTTCCTTAGTTATACTAATGCGAGATCAGCTCATCTTATAAAGCACATTGTCTCTACTATCCCTGTACTATTTCACAAGGAAATCGGAAACCAGGCATGGCATGATATGATGCAAGACTCAGCTCGCGCTCGGTGTTGTTTCTTGATCCTGCTGATATATTTGCTGTATTGCATTGCCACCATTGGCCATTGCAATATAGACATGCATGCTATTCAACGCACATATATTGCAGAACAGGAAGGCGTTCCATAGAAATATCCTGCATTTATTTTGCTTTGTAAGATGTATACGGAACGGAATCCGAACCATTACCTTGAATTAGAATAGTAAAAAAAAAAAAAAGGGAAAAAAGATTTGCTTAAATTGTTATGCAATCGGAATATCAATGTGAATAGATTCACGGATTTTGACATTGTGATTAACTGGATTTTCCTTTCTCAGTCGCTTGTCATAAAACAAAATTGTAAACAAGTGCACGTGCATGCACGGCCGAAAAAACGTGAAATAACATGGATAATATCACCCAGAAATGCTCAGTTTGTGAGGAGAAGCAGTATAAATATAGATGCCCAAAATGCAGAATTTTGTAGTAAGTAACTCAAATAATTTTTGAAGTTTCGTAACCCACTTTGAGTCTCCCGTAATTTTGGTGTGATACTTGTCCCGCATGTATAGATTTGTGTTGGTCAATAAGATAAAGCCAATTGCCTGTATAGGAACTACAATGTACGTGCACGTGGATGGCGTGGCGTGGCGTGGCGTGGTCGAGATGTACTGACACGAGCAAGCCTTTGGCTTTAGAAGTCATTGCCGAAAATGTTTCATTTCATGAAAAAAAGAACACGGCTCGCAAGGATGGAAGCTGAAATATTTGGCATTGTTGTGATTCAACTTCAAGTAAACAAGATCAAGTAGACTCTAGAGCATCACGACAAAAGGCAGTTATAGTTATTAGTCTAACTCTAAGGCACAATACATAGCCCAGCCACATCATTCACATAGAGTTCGAATTTACTATGTAACTGCACATTTTTCTGATTTTTCTAATAAAGATTATCATTCATTTTTGTCTACCTTCTTCTAGTTGCTCAGTACCCTGTTACAAGGAGCACAAATCAGGCGGTAAGTTGAAACAATGACTTTTATGAGTCACTATCTTGGGAAGATCAAAACATATTATTATTATTTTTTTTTGGGGGGGGGTTGGGGGGTTGGGGTATGAGTTTCATAAAATAAAAAAAAATATATTTATTTATTACTTTATGTATTTATTTATTGTCTTCACACCACACTCAATTTTTTTCCTTTTACACACAGAAGTTGAATCATTAACTTTAAAATGTTTACAAATTCTCAAGTATATTTGATTTGCTGTAATTATCCATGTCATAAATCTAAATTCAAATCCATATTGAGAACTAACACTTTATTATAGTTTTATTTACAGTTTTATTTTAGCAGGGTTGCCTCTTCAGTTAACATATATTGATGATATGTTGTATTCATACGTGTGCTCTCACAATTTCCCCCCAGATTCTTGTGAAAATAAAGAAGAAATTCAGAAGGCCAAGGAAGATGGTGGAAATCTTGCAAAGGAAGAAAGGGCAAAAGGTAAATACGGTATTCCTAAACACAAATAAGTAATACACAAATGCATGAAAACATTTTAAACATGGAAAATACTTGGTTAAAATGCATTTATCACAGTTTTTGATGTCTTTAATGATATGAGAAAATGATTGACTACCGTAGTAGTAATTTACCCAAAGGGGTCAGTGCCATACAACTTGATATTTACGTTTTCTTCTTTTTATTAATTTGATTGTCTTACCTAGCTAATAGAAGTCGTGAAGTGGATTTTCCTTATGATAAGGAAATTCTATTCTATTCTATTTTCACGATATAGACCAAATATACATATATATATATATAATTAATTATAACACAAAATAGTGTTACCTGTGTTGGTCTAAATTCATTTACTGTCTACTGTCTATTACCTTTGGTTTGGGGTGTAGGTTTATTTGCATGTCCAGTGTCATGCTGACATCCGGATCATTGTTTGAAGTGATAATTTTTAATATTTTTTTGTTAATAATCTTATTTTTCATCTCTAATGACAAATAAAATATTTGTCATACAGAAGAAGGAGAAGTATCCGAGGATGAAGATGATGACATGGACTCACCAATCGATGATCAACTCACACAAGAACAACTGAATAAACTGGGTAATTATTGCTTCCTTAAATTTAAATTATGATGTTTCTATAAATCACATGTGCAAATTAATCCTGGACCAATATCTGACACATAGGTATCAACTTTCTACTGTATATTCAAAACGAAATTACAGAATTAAAAGCTGGAAAAGATACCAATATAATGAAAGTTGTATTTCAATTAACTTTACATGTAGTTTCTTTTATTCAGTTTGTGTTTATGAAATATTTAAAAATGAATTCTATGAACTAAAATGCTTTTTATTTGAATTAAATGATTGGAATAGAACCGAGTTGGTAGGAAAAGTTTAAAGTGATAAGAAATACACATTGTAATCCTGATCATCTTTACAACATATGCACAACATTTAATAAAGGCTAATTCCCTGCATGACTTGTGAAATGAAATACAGAGACAAATGAAAGCGAAATGTGACCGATTTAACAGGCATGTACAGGTTTCTCTGCTTTAGTGACCAGTGACCACCTGTATACATGAATACCTTTCTAGAAAGACAACCTGTCTATCAAGATCACATTTGTATTGAATTTTGTCTCAATTGAGCAGTGTTTCACTTTAAAAAAGTATTTAAGAAACAAACTCTTGAAGACCACCGATTTCTAAAATCAGTTTTTCTTGAGTAGCCAAGTTTCGTTGTAGGTTACTACACTGTGATCATCAACTATTAAAAATCAAAGAAATCCTGATTTCTCTTTGGGTCCTAGGTGTAAATGGACTCAAAATTCTCCCCTATAAGTCAGTGATTTGGTCACCACCTACATTACGAGGGGTCAGTGACACAGACGTAACTACATTTTGGCTATTTTGAGAAAAAGTGGTTTGTGTGTCTCTGAGCTCTTGGGCCTTAAGGAGTTAAGTCTATGTTTCACTAGCCATTGACTTCAATGGGGGTGTTGGGTGAAGTTAAGTCTTTGTGTTTCCTGGAAAGCCCACATTTTTCTGAACATTTTGATATCAAATACTCTTTTTGGCAAAATATAGAGTTGTGTCACTGAACCCTCGATTACATCCCTTTCATTCTCCTTCTCAAGGTGAGTCCGACTCGGTGAGGGATCTTCTTCAGAACCCCCACCTGAGGGTGCTTATCACACAGTTGGATAAAGCAGATGAGAAGGCTAAAGCTATAGAGGGCGCTATGCAGGAGCCAATCTTTGTGGAGTTTGCAGATGCCTGCCTTGCAGCAACAGTTGGACAGGATAAAGACACCATTGCAGACAGATGATATTTTTGTTGATGTCTGGGTGGACTCGATTTTACACAGAAATGCTGGGAACGAGTGAGGGACGGAAAGAATTGGAGATATAACGTGATACTATTCTGTAGTCAGTACCAGTGTTAACTCTGAAACTAAAGGATGATTTTGGCAGTTTCACAGCTGGAAAGAGGCAGACTTTTATGTGAATAATCAATGTCATCAAGAAGGGAGACGGCTTTCCTTTGTCTCTTGTATAATTTTTTCTTTCTGGGGGGGGGGGGTGGGTTGGCATACAGGATATGTGCCCCCTCTGGCTTTAATTTTTTTGTAAAATAATTTTCTGGTCAGTTTTTGAGGTAGCTTATAAACCAAGTGATTGTAATCTTATTGCAAAACGTGCTGTCCACAACATATTGTGGGGAAACCTGAATCAGCATTCTAAAACCTCTGGTAAATTCTTCATTCCAAGTACAATTGGTCCAATTAAATTATAATTTTTGCATTTATCTAACCAATTTCTGCCAATTGTTTCCTTTAACATTTATTCAGTTGACTTAATGTTGACAAAATGTGTACTCTTTTATGGATAGGAGCAAATTGAATATAAAAGCTTCTGAAGTCAGGATATCATTTATTTTTAAAGTATGAGATAAGAATCATTGGTAATAAAGAAGCTGCTTATGACATTGAAGAGGTATGAAGGCAAGAAAGTGACAATAGGAGAAAGTTATATTTTTTTTAAGTATAAAGGGAGAAAGGTAAAGATAAGTGATGAAGAGACAGAGTGAGAGAGTGAAGCTGTGATGAGAAATAAGAGAAAGAGCAAGGGGGGGGATAGAGAAACACTCTTTAAAAAAATATGTTGTACTGCCCTTTAAGTGCCAAAACATGGGTTGGTAAGAACTTTTTTTTCTTTCTCTACTTCTTTTGGTCGATATTTGTATTAGGTTCATGATATTTCTCATGTTTTGAATGCAATAAAACATTTTTTCTAAAAATTGATTTAAAAAAAAAAGCCGACAACAGTTTGGGTCAGTCGCAAAGGGCAATACTTTTTTTTGTTTACGCCTTCTGAACTGAGGTCCACGTCATCTGGGCTCAAATTATTTAAGCTAGGTTTTCGTTGCCTTGAGCAGATAAAATTTACCCAACTTTTAGTCACTGTAAATAAAAATGAACGATTTAGAATTTAGCCTCTAGATTTGTCCCTAAATATTTTGCATATAATTTTCAATTAGTTCAATTAGGATAGAGCTTTGTTTTGATGCATTTTGTTTTTATGAGAAATGCGTCCGTAGATAAATACATGTAGTCATTCAACTCACAATAACATTCACCAGTTATCAGAGACTCAAACCATACTATCGAGCTTTCATTATTCCACATCACAAATCTCATGACCACTTCTAACCATTTTCACACAAAAGCGCTCGAACAAAACTGACCTAGACGTTGATAAAATATCCAAGGAAATAATTGTTTTTGCAGTAGAAAGGGGTAGATTTTATTTCTGTACTAAAAATACAGATTCATGATTGTATCACGACATTCGATTAATATTCTGATAATAAATCCATATTGTATGGGCTGTATCGGGAACCGGGTCGTCCAGTTTTTTAAACGAGAACGAAGTGTTTTTGTGACGGGAAAATGACCCGGTCGACGACCTGGATCACTCCGTTGGTTGTGGGTATATCACGTGCGATCACTCGGGAAGCTTTTGACTGGTCACTCTGCTTGTTCAGGAGAATTTGATCTGTAAGAGAAGCAGAACGAATAAATATGGTGAAGAATTCATTTACATAGAAGTACAAATTAAATATGTTAAAAAACATTAGTGGACAAAAGCAACCGGCTTTAAAATAGATGTATCATTCTAGTGTAGCATTACCTTTAGTAAATAAAAAATTGAATCTTGAAATGTATATAATATCGAACATACATATATATCATAGTTGAAGACGTTATTGCCCTTTGCGACCGACCCAATATGTTTAAATCTAAGGTTGGCTTTTTATTAATTTTTTTGTACCGTTTTATGAAAAATGTATATGCGTATTAAAGCATTAAAAACTGAAAAATTATCGGCCCAAAGGGGTAAGTGAAATTTAATAAAGTTCAAAAAACCAACCGACCGACCCAGGTTCTGGCACTAAGGGCAAATCTTTTTGTTGTCCTAACTTTTCTTTTAGAAAAAAAGAGAAGTAACGTTCATTTTAAATTATATATTCCCTTTCCGAGATTCAAAAAGTGATATGTTTCTCCCCCCCCCCCCTTCTTCCAAAATACTTATACGGCCGCAAGTGATATGTTTAATGTGTTTATTAATGGATTAAAAAAGGCTTACCATCACTGTCGCGGGCAACCGAAATTTCATCTCCCTGCGAGGCACGGAGGCGCTGACCAGACGACAGAGAGACAGAATACTTGACGTCAGAGATCACGTGGTACTTGAGCAGGTTGCGGAGTTTGCCGGCGGGGTCTTTTTTGAGGTCGTCGAGGACCCCGGATGGGAGAGCTTGGAAGGCGGCGTTGGTCGGCACAAGAACCGTGATGGGGTCAGAATCTGTGAAAGACGGAATATTCGAATTAGGCTTTGCGCTTACTATTTCGTTATTATTAACCTGCACTTGCTGTTAGGTGTTAAATGGGTACCCGGTAGGATGCGATCATCATTGTTGGTCAAACAGTTTTGAGCGCCAAGCAATGCCTGGCTGGAATGCTTCCCAGGAAGTGGAGATTTGTGAACACACATTGTGTGTGGGCAAGTATTGAATCCAATGACCGGGGTAATAATATATCTTTAAAGCACTTGGGAGACATCGTAGATTTAGTAAGAGGTATATAAAAGCGGAATATCTCATATTTTTAATAAGGAAGCATTAACGGATTTTGAAATAGATACGACCATATTTCAAAAGATAAGCGGGTCCCAAATAATTTGTCAGTATTGAATTTGCGTATCGGACCTTTTACTGACGGTGTCATTTTGAAAACTACTAATTTGAATCCATGTCACTAGAAATTTTACGGCCATGCTATTTTCCCCCATTCCCTCCCGCCCCCCCCCCCCCCAAAAAAAGCCATTCACAGAAGTAAACTTACTTCTAACTTCATTTTCGAGTCCGGCTCGTTTCAGGAGATCGACGACCACGGAGAAGGCTTGGTTGTCAGCCAGGGTGTCCATTACGTTACCGACTGGGAGTGGATAGATGACCTTGTCGACTACGTGGATGAGTCCACTGCTAGCCTTTCTGTCGGCGCCAATGACTCGAGCGCCATTAACAGTGATCATCTGTTAAAGGAATAACATACATTAAAGTTTAACTCACATATACCCTGCTCGAATGCACCACTAGATGAGGAAGGAACTTTGTACATGCCATTTCTAAGTACGAATAGACATGGTGAATTTGAATGTTTAAAACATTAAATTTCCGGGGTTTTTAATTTTACTTTTAAGCAAATATTGGCAATGCCTTACACCGAGTCGGACCTTTTGCCACATAGTAAGACGTGCATATTTGCGTCTAATCTCATGTGCATTATGTTTCACTTTTGTAGGAAAGAATATGAACCAAAGTTGCAATTATTCGAAACGGAATAGTTGTATATGAACAGAAACCAAACCATTGCAGGGAAATCCAACTTTACCGGTTAACGAAATTGAGCAGAAAGTGTTTCCTTCCGACTTTATAAAAGCTTATATTACTTAAAACTCCTATCTATAATATCTGTTTTTCATTCCTCGACAATTTTCAAACACTTGAATTAAAACTTGCCTTCTTCGCGTCACGGTAGACGTTGAATCTTAGCTTGGCGCCGTTCAGACTCTGGACCTTCTGGTTGTCAGTGATCTGCGAAGACTCGACCCTTCCTGAAACGACCCAAGCCTTGACCAGGTTCTTCATGGCCTCCTGGTTTGGCCTCAGTTTAGCAGGAAGCTCCTGCCTCCACTTCTGGACAGCCTTATCACTGGGCATGCACAATGTGACAAATGCTACGAGAGAAAAAAGGAGAAGTAGAATAAACAAAGTATTATAAAGATAGATAGGATATAACATCCTAATTTACAATGAACATAAGTTAGCTCGAATATTCCATTAACGATCGGTCGGACAATACTTGGTTATACACCAATAAGCATTCATTTGGGCAAAGTGAATCGAGAAGTCATGAAACATTCAAACTTAATAATGGAGATATATATCTTGGGCTTCTGAAATTCCCTTAAGTTTTCGTTTTTAAAACTTTTTTTCTACTTTATTAGCAGTGGGGAAAATGCCTTTTGTCGATTAAACTATAAAGCATTGCAAATGGTGAATTACCGAATTACAACTGGTATAGTATTGAATTTATAAATCGGAAACAGCAAACGTAATTGAACGCAAAATCACTTTCGTTTTAAAGGAATTAGCTAGCTCAAAATTCAGTTTAGGATAACGGCACACCAATATAGGTTATGCTCTTGTGGGCTCCACGATTGTGTTTTTAAGGTAAAATACTGAAAATTGTGTACGGTAACTTACAAAGGTTACTGTCTCGGAGAACCTGTCTCAGGTCAACCTGCTCGGTGATGTTCGCTGCCTCACGAAGCCCCAGAGCCCTTAGCCTTTCAACGATGTCCACCTCGACTTGATCGTCGCTTCGGTTGAAGGACACCATCGAGTCCGCCGGGAACATCTTTCTCAGGAACTCCTTGGCCGAGATATCTTTGTTCTGCTGGTTCTGTTCGGCGGGCGAGAGTATCATCGGGTGGGCGACGGCTACCCCGACAAGGACGGCCAAGAAAGCGATGAGAGACTGCATGGTTGAGCTGTAGGATGCTTGGTAGTATTGCAGAGTAGTTAGAGTATAAAAAACACCAGTATTTATACCATTCCAGCTCGAATCTCATGCATACCATATACAAACAAGTTTGAATAAAATATGCAAACAAATTCTCCTCGAGTACTTATTGAGGAACTATATTCACCTGTTACGAATCAATTACAATTTGATAGCCGGAATGCAGACTGCATAAATTGGGTGTTGATATGTCGGTAAGTGAGCCGCTGAACGTTATGGTAATTTACAGGTCAGTTCACAAATGTTTCAAACTTGATGCATATATGCTATTGTTACTAGCGATCGGCGACCGCAAAGCTTAAAGGTATACTATGTCCCACTTGCAGGCCAAAAAAATGAAAAAAGTTAAATTCCAACTGCATTTGAAAGATAATACTAATTTAGAACTTCCCTAAAAAAGGTGGGGCTTGAAAATGTCTTCAAGTGGGAAAATAACGACTATTAGTTGTCAAATCGACTTTAGGGCTATAGAGCCCAAAAGTAATAGTCTTGATTTTCAGACAATAATTGTACTGAATGGTCATACGTTTTATGCTGCGCAAAGATTCAATCACTTTAATCTTGGCCATCACAAGAAGTGGGTTATTGATGTAGACAAATGCTCATGTACCCTTTACAACTCTTTTCATGTATGTTATTACCAAAGAAGAAGAAAAGCCAGTCAGTCACTCAATAGTGTCTGACACTGAAGTCTAGCAAGTAAACGGGTTTCCTTGCATAATTTGAATATGAGGACACTGCTAATGTTTAAATTTCACAGATAGGACATACATGACATATTCATAATTCCTGCAAAGTTCTACAGAATTTGAGGTTGGCTGCAAAAGGGACATAGTACCTTTAACAGGAGCTTGCATGTATGACATACCATGGACCTATTACGGATGGACATTCATCGTTTTCTTGACGAATTCATTAGGGACTTTTAGATTTGCGTGGACGTGGACGTGTTACGTCCTTTTCAGGCAATGGCAGTCACATGTGACGTCCTTTTAAGTACATGGCAGTGCCTTATTACGGATGGACATTCAACGTGATTCTTTCTTTGATCCAATGATAGTCACCGCTTTCTGATTATGTGCATCTTAATGAGAACATTCAGCTGTTTTAACAATAACGACTGCGCAAGCATTTTCGGTCATTGACAAAGGAGCAGTTTCCCTCTCTTGGGTTTTGTTTGGCCGGTGTGCTCTGTAAGAGTGTGTCTTAATTAAATAAAAGCAACCCCAATGGGGAGCAGCAAATTTGAAAAGTAGACGATTTTGGTGATATAAAATGTATTGTTACTGATTTGCACACTTTCGCACACACCCATGACCTTATAAAACAATTAGAAGGCCATGATCTTTATAAGCCCTGTGCGTTATAACCCTGGAATATTATGAGGAAGTAGGGGGAAACGGGATTTTAAATCACAACCAATCCGAAAATAACCTCTATCTGGTAATATCAAAATAAAATACAAAGTGAGTCAGAAAAAATGTCCCACTTTTTAAAAGTTGTATTGTTTGAAGTATGAATATTTAATCATGGCTTTCATGACATGTCTTGATAGAGTTATCCTCATTTCATTAGAATATCTGCATGCATGACTGAACATCAGACAATCTTTACAAGACTGTCAGATCTCTCTTGCGCCATGTTGCTAGGTGAGGACTTAAATAGTGTTTTGAACAAAGACAGTCAGACAGACAAAAACACACACACGCGCATACATACACGCGCAGGAACAACCACACAAAATGAGAGTTCCATTCCCGAC